CAGCCTTCATTTGCTTTCCAGTGCCCAGAGGGCCCACCAACCCCCACCTGTCTTGAATGTCAGCCCCTTTAATATCCAGCTGCATTCTGTCCCCTCTACTTCTTCCAATGTGTACTCCTTGTGCCCAACCCACCATTCCATGTGGCTTCTCACTAATCCAAGCACCCTGCCAACCCCACTGCAGCCCTGGTCTGTGTTTTCACTGCCCCTTGACACAGACACCTCATGAGTTATACCTTCCTCCCACACCACCTGAGTTAACAGGACACGGTCTCCCCAAGTGTCGGGCCCTCTGTGGCCCACACTGGACATGACGCTAAAACAACAGCAAGGCCACATGATGTTCCCAGGCATCCCCTCCCTCCCACTTCCTGACTTGAGGCTCTTACCTTCATGGTTGGGGGTGCAGAGAGAGGAGGGGACAGTGGCCGATTTGGGAGGGTCACATCTGAGCTGTTGGCCAGCTCCTGCTTCCTGCAAAGAGACCAAAGAACACAGAAGCTGTGAGCAAGGGCTGTCTTGAGCCTTCTTCCCTCTGCAATCTAAGAGGGGCTGAGCCTGAAGACATAGCGAATAATACAGAAAAGTGAAGATGACTGCATTTCTTCACTGAGATGTACTAACATCGAAAGCAGTACTGTGGCAAGGGCAGGCCCTGGTCCATCAGGACATGTCCTCAGGTGCATGCCAGAATCTCCAAGGATGGACTCCAAGAATCTGCTTTACACAGCTTCCCACATTGTTCTGATTGTACTCAAACACTCAGAACTGCCACTTCCAAAAGATACAGGATAGGACTAGAGTCAGAGGGAGACAGGGAAAGGGATCATCGTGGAGAATTCATTTTCCCATGGGCACCTGTGTCCATTTGGAAAGCTGCTCACAAACACACACATGCACATTCACGCACACACATACAAACACGCCTGCACACATACACATGCATACGCACACACACACCCTGGCCACAGAGCCAACCTTGGGAGGACAGGGATACCTGCTATAGAAGCTGCAGGTAAAATTTACTTTAGTCTATGTGGGGTAGGACCAGTTTGGGGCAGCAAAACAGAGTTGGGTCACCATGGAAACACTGCTCTCACACACTCCCCACTTCCCATCTGGCCCTTGCTGGTGACCAAGGAGAGCTTGTTTGCTGTCCCATCACCAGGCAGACTGCTTAGGTTGAGAGAAACCTCCACAGCGAGTTATACAACAGGGCCATCTGGGCAGAGGTGGGGGATTCCCCCAGTGCGCCAGGGACTGTGATGTGCCCTGGCAGGGAGGAATGGAAAGGCAAGACAATAATCCTGAAATGCCAACTGAACCCTTAAAGCCCCCAGCTTCACAAGAAGCACCCAACAGGCAGCCATGTCTGTGTTAAATGACTGAGACCCACCATTCTCCATTAGAGAGAACACTCTGAATCTCTTCCCAGCCAGGAGTAGTGACAGCCCCAATCCAGGCTGGAACGTGAAGGAAACCCACACTCCCTAGGATCATACTCCCCAAATTCCCACGGAGAAATCCCAGCCCTGGAGCCCAAATACAGTCTCACACTGGCTCCCCAAGACCACGGGCCAGGACAGTCTCACACTTCCTGAGAAACCTGGCTGGGGACAGGGCCATACTGTCTATCACAGAGCCCCTTGTTTCACTTGCAGCCAGCCACCCGCTCTATCCTCTAAGCAGCCAGACAGGGGGGCTGGTGAACATCTGGTTTAGCTCAGGATTCACATGACTCCACTAACCTCAACCCTGGCCAGCTCCCTTTCTCTCCCCATCTGCCTGCGTTAAGTGGAAGAGGTCGCCTTCCTCCTGGTCCAGACTGTTATTGGCCCAAAAACCAGAGAAGACAAGATTCTGCAATGCGAGTTCCCATGTACATGTGTGTGTGCGCACACACACACACACACACACACACACACACACACACACACACACACACACACGGAAGAGCTTTGATTGCCTCTCAACACAGCTACCAGCCTCACTTTCCATATATCAGCTCAATTGTAGCAACTGCTCTGCCCTCACCTGCTTCCCAATGAAGCTGACCCAGCCAGCAGGGCACAGCCTCTGCCCTCTGCCCTCTGCCCTCTGCCCTCTCCCTCTGCCACTCATCCCTCTTTCAAGCAGCCGCTGCCTCCCTTGATGGTCCTGCCCCCCTGAGAGCCAGAAAGGGGAAAAGGGAAGGTTAATCAAGGGTGACAAATAGATACCCAAGACAAAGATAAGGGTGACTCCCTTGGGAGCTGGGAGGATGGCAGAGAATGCAGAAGAGGCAAATCCCCTGTGAGAGAACACAGGCTGCTCTGAGAACTTCCAGCCATGCCTTGGAAAATAGATGACTTCAAGTACACCTTTAATAGAGGCACACGCACCATCCCTCTTGGCACACTCTTGGCTCCGTCCCTTCCTCCAATTTAAGAGCTAAATGTCTAGTGTCAGTTAAACTGTGTCCTCCAACAAAAGGGTATGTTGACCTCTCAATCTGCAGCTCATATGAATAGGGCCTTATATGAAAACAGAGTCTCTGCAGATGCAATCGAGTTAAGATGAGGCCGTGAGCTAGGCCTTAAACATGCTCCGTACCCATGTAAGAGGAGAAGGCAGCTGTAAGGTTACAGTGCCACGTCACCACCATGGCATGATGGACTTAGATGGGGCAGTGCTTTGCCTGCAGGTGGAGGAATGCTAAGGATTGCACCAACCACCAGGAACTAGAAGACATAAGGACTCTCCATCAAGCAGGTGTGTTTCTACTGACACTTGGAGTCCCAACTTCCAGGACTGAGAAAAGAAATGTCTGTTGCCTCTAGCCAGTTCTAACACTTGGTAAGAGCAGCCCTGGGAAAGTAATGACACCACCCAAGTTCTCACCTCTACCCTTGCCCTTGAGATTGAAAGACCAGAATGAAGAAGGTGAAATCCCAAATTCTACCACAATCCCACCCCTTACCCTGATCAGCTGAGGCTGACCTTGTCCTGCCCCAGCCCTCATGACAATGACATTTACATGTGAGCTATTGCCACCCCCAGGCCAGACCTAGCCACCAGCTGGCACAAAGATTACATAAGGTGAGAGACACACATGACACATGCACAGCTCCTGCTCTTTCTCTCTCACTCAGCAAACACATCACGCATGAGTAGGTGAAATTGATGTGATTCTATCCAGGGATAACCTTGGCCACTCTCGTTTGTTATAAGCAAAAGGTTAATCATTAGCACAAGTAACAAGTTTCTTGTGATCCACTGTGTCACGATTCTGAGATTGAAAACTGCCCCTCCCACTGACCCAGACAAACATGAACATATGCTGTGAGGACACAGGGCCCCATATTTATCCAGGGGCTCTTGGAAACACATAAGGGAAGGTGCTGATAGGGACAGGTGGCGGAGAGGAGAAGGGAAGAGGAAGATGGAGAGAAGGCAGAGGGGAGGAGGAAAATTCTATTCTCAGCTGAAACAGAGAGGCACGAAGGCGCTAAATGGGCAGGTCACCCCGGGGCTTTCTGGAGGCACTTCCCACTCAGCATCTCCACAGCTGCACAGCCAAATGGACTAAAGCTCACCACTCTGAGACTGGCTCCTAGAAGCATAGGAGATCCCAGGGCAGAGGGGAGGGTTCAGGGTGGCCAGAAGAGGCCCCCCGGCTGGCTTTAG